GAAGAGGAAGGGTGGCCAAGCGATGACCTGGTCCAGAGGAATGAAGGCCCCCACTTCTGAGCTGGCATTGATTGGAGCGTCTCGGCTCCTTGGTTGGGGTCCGAAAGACGATGAACACGTTTGCTTGGACACACTTGCTGACATGGCAAGGAGCTGACCTCAGTGGCATTCGTGCTGTAAGTTTCTTTGTCCCACCCCATCCCTCTTAGCCTCCCCCTCCAACCACGATCCCATCATTTAGCCTTATGTAATTTTGCATAGTAATTTTTTTGATGCACAGTAGCCGGCTGGTAGCTTACCGGAACGATGCCCATCCGTTACCGGTAGCTCAACCGGCTTGCCCCAGTTGAATTCTTTTTTCTCCTTTTTTCTATGTATTGCGGCACTGTAGCTGAGGTGTTCCCCACCTCTGGCTAACGTATATGACGATGATGATGAGTCGGATTGCCTGTTTAAAGTCTATCTGCGGGGTAATGGCTGATTATGACGACGGGCAGAGAAAGCCGCAAGGAAGCTGTCTTGCGGAGGCCGCCTTATCTTTGCACGATAAACCGGTGTTTGCGGCGGTGTGTTGCTAACACAAAGTGTAGACGCCCTGAACCTGAGTGTTTTCTTAGAGCATTAATTTTTTCCTGTAAATTCCCCTACTCTCCCACTTATTATTCTTTATTCCATTGGTCATTACGGCTTTACGGCAGCGAAGCATCAGTAAAAGTGGCTGATCTATTGATGTTGCTGATTGATTTTGCTATCAGCCAAATCAAAATGCTCTTTCTGCCACGGCGTGGACACCGCTCGGTTAATAAGTCCGAGGCATGAGCTACGTCCAGTTGTACCTCCGTCTTATAAACATGGGCTTTTGAGTTCTCCCAACCAAGTGTTCCTTGTTAGTTTCCATGCTAAGATTACACATCCGAATGATTGCGTTCACAGCAGACCTTATAAAGTAGCTGGCTTGCATTCACCTATGACAAACTACTCAGCCAAAGGTTTAAAGTAAAACATTCAAACATAACCACCTCTATTTCTTGATCACCACTCAACGACGACAGTTTTCTTTATCATTGCTTGAACGCTCACTATGTAAACGTTATGGAATCAGATGCCTGCACGTAGACCACCCCTGTATCTTGACCACTTTAGTTCATTCCCTTGAGCGAGAAACTTTATGAAGCTTTCACTGTAGTTTAGCTGGTATTTTGAGGAAGCATAACTGGTTTTTATACAAATCAATATTTGTTTACACATCACTTCTGCTGAGCTCGTAGAACTTTGACCGGCTAGCTGTTAACCAGCACCTTATCATTTAGTTCATGCTAATTCGACCTAGATGTCACATACTAATGCCAGCTATTCGCTTACCACTTGACCGATTGTAAATTTGAATATTTGCTTACGAAGTGTGTCAGTTACTCTTGTCCCCCTAATAGGTTTGCTGTCTATTGTGCTAACACTCTTCCCAGTGGTTTACGATTTCGCACACTTTTTGGCAATCTGCTTACAATTGTACACAATGATTGACTATCGTAAAATGCTTATATATGCATTCGGCTACGCACCCGTTTCGGAAAGTAACAGTTCCTCCTTTAAGCCCACGTAACATACATTTTGGTTTCCTTTCCCAGCACGAGTGCCTTGTAAGTGTATTTTTACCCTACATTATTGGTATGGTAACAAAGCGAAAGCGAAATCAGCTATCTAATTTGAAAAACAAAAGCGAAAGTTCCAAAGTTAGATCACGTATATTTCCTTTGAACAGTTTAACATGGGCTGTTAGTTTATTCAAGGAAACACTTTCTTTTCGCTTCTCCCTGTGAATTGTAAAAAGGTAAATTTAAAAACTGCCGATTCTGTAATATTATGTAGGTTCGAGGCAAGCTTCCTGAACAACAACATAAGCAAATTTAAACAGACAGTATGTTCTATTCTCTAGGTTCGGGACTTGCAAGCTAAATCTTGTTTAAAAACGTTACGAAAACAACTAATTTTGCTCTATCTGTGCACACATAATTGAGCAAATCATCGGTAGGATTTGTATATCAAAACGTTATGAAAGCTGTGTGGTATGTAACCAAGTCCTTTCCTTCATTAACAAAAGCCTATATGTCAAGACGTTTTATGAGATTACAAGTACATTGTACTGCATGTTTAATGGAAATATACGTGGTTGGATATACTACAAGTACTGCAACTAACCTGTCGATCCAGTTAATTTAGTATTGGACTGACATCTAAGGGATAGTAAACGTTGGAATTATGAATTTTTAATGTTATTACAACTGAAAGTTGACAGGTGACAACATGGTACATCAAAGGAATCAAAGTTAATCACAGCAAGTAAAGTGCATATACTAATACCGAATAATTCATCCAGACAAAACTGTGCCTACCGTGTTGCCTTACGGGTTGCATACTTGCGTCTGCCAGTAGTTTGCGCTTACCGTTTCTGAAAGCATTTACAACCACTCATGTCAGCTAGATAAATTTTTAAGACAATTTGTCCTAGCATCCCGGACTTCGGAAGTTGGGAATCTTCGATGATCATCACTTTATATCCTCACACTAGGGCAGGACGCACTCCTGTATACTTTGTTCCAGTCGAGGGTGTTTTATAAGGAGACAACCTCTCGCCCCTTGATCCACCGTGTATGCCGAAAAACGTATTATTTCATCCAAACTTCTTGGTTGCAGTTGAACCAACGATTTCCTTTTTGGTTCTATTTTTCCAACTACAGGGACATCTTCAAGTATGAAGAATGGTCTGGAAGAGTTTCCGCCGTGTACTTCATCCCCGTCTCGCATTCTGAACACTTCTCAACGGTGTGCTGGACCCATCTTCATTGCTTTGGGCTACAATCCATTTTGAATACCACCTCTTCAATGGCAGGGAGTAAACAGCTCACATCCGAGATGTCACATTTCAAATATTTGAGGGTGTATTTGTCCAAAGACGATGCTTGTTCTACTTATGTTAACGTAATGCCTATCTGAGTTAGAAGGTTGTTCCTTATGCCTCTAAAATTCAATGCTTTCGTTGAAATGTTGTTTGTTTTTGACCATCATTAACGTATTCATCCTGCCATACTGTCTTTACTGTACTTATAAACTATTCTTGGACTACCTATAGTATACTGCATATTATCTATACGACCGTTAAAGTTAGGTATACATGCATTGGATGGTTTAAAGTGGCTGCTAGGTTTACTGTTCGCAAACATGCGAACCTTTGTACTAGTTTTTCATTTAGATTCCTAAACTCTTCCTTCATGTTGGTCCACCAGAAACTCGGTTTGTTGTTTCTTCACCCTCTAAAGTTAGTGTTTTATTTTCTCGTAATGTATAGTACCACAAGCTTATCCTAATGGAATTAGAATGCTCACTGATTGACCTAAAGATAATCACCATTCTCATGGTAATATTTATCTGAGTGGTACGCACACAAAATTAGCAGTAGGCACTTGATTTGCCTTTATAAAATTATGCCATGTTTTTTTCCACAGAGAAATCGCCTTAATGGATTCGTAAATTTTCATGTTTAGGCAGTGTTGTCAGGCAAGCACGTCGTGCCACCCAACAACTTAAGTCTCGAATTTGGACTAAAATATCTCAGTCACGTATGGAGTAGCCAAACCATGAACGTAATGGTAAAGGAAAATATTTACAAGAGTACGATGCGTTTCTCGTGGTAACATGGATAAGTAACCCGGTGGCAACCGGGAAAGGATTCTTTGGTCTAACTACCGGTAACTACTGACGATTATGCGTTGTGTTTCGGGCACAACGGTGGTAGGCATTCAGTCCTCCAAATTTCAACACTGAAATGCTTGTTGTGATCACATTTTTATCGGTGACCTGGTACTTTACTTTGCGTGTCAGATATCAGAATTCTTCAGTATATTTTGCCAATAACGCGCAAGTTGGATGAAATGGAAGTGATTAATCCAAGACACGAGAGACGCATCGGAAACGGCTCACAGACAGTTTAAGTCAGTACCTGGTGTCTCATAGATGAAAACTTCTAGATAACCACAATTACGATTAGATAATTTTGCGGAAGTGGCACTCACACAAATTCTGAGCCTTGCTTGCATTCGTTAACAGCTATCTGATTTAAATCTACCCTATTAAGGGCTTATAATTCTTACACTGTCAGTTTTACTTATTATCATAAATGCGGTGAATTGACTGAGAGGAATCGGATATTCTGTAAATCTTCAGGAGGATAAAAAGTATTTATACCTATTGTTTATTTTGTCCAGATGCGAAGTATTTATGTGCTAACTATTATTTCTAGATAGCTTTAAATTACTAGACAAAAATGTTTGGTAATACTGCTGAACTTGGTATGTTAACGCTTGTCAGCGATATTAGATATGGACGTAAATGCGTACAAATAGGAAATAATTAACAACCTTACTAAGTAAGATTAGCTACTGTTACATCTTTAAAGCTGTACAGCTTGGTCACAAAGTTGCAATTATATAGTAAAAGGTCTGCACTTGCAATTGATTTGAAATTCCATTTGTTTGCCTTTTTCGGAATGTTTCAACTCATAAGTTAACATTTTTTGTAAATGGTCAGCAATTGTTTTGCTATCCATAGGTTTTTCAGACGCAGGAGGTTTTTTCAGTGAAAGCGTTACGACTAATAAACCTGACGTCGTGATGCCGTCATCTTTGTGATCTGTAGACAGTTCTCTGACCAGGGTGCTTTCCGAAGGCACATATTTCAATAGCTCTTCTACCTATAAATAGAAGGAAGAAAAAACATAAAATTGCAATCTTCAGTTTGGTGAACCTAAAAGTAGGATGAACCAATATGATTACTACTAATATATTGTGTTACGTTAAACATCGCAAATACTTTACACAGAATAAAATGGCTAATGCAAACAAAATGATTAAAATTTTCAAAGTCAAACACAATACTAGGCATCAACTAGTATACTACGATGTATATGTGACCTCTCCTAACGTTTCAACAACATTATCTTACAACAAAATTTCGACAAATCTGGGTGGCTGCTGAGAAACTAATCTGTTAACATCTATAATTTTGGCTAGCCGGTAGAGGGGTTGATTGACATCCCAGTAGTCCATAGCGTGAATGCTTGCAACCTCGAAATCTTGGGTTAGCTGAGTGTACTTTAGCAACTGAAGTTCATATCATTCCGTATATAATTATCCTAAGTTCTCCCTTCGTAACTTTTGAAGGAACCACAACGCAACTAAGTTTGTAGTATCGTTATTGTTGCGCACGCAGTCCTATTATTATGAGATAAGTGAAACGTGAAGTGAGTAAAACAGTAACAGATAACAACGCGACTGTCGCTTGCTAGCTATTTTTCTTTCCATTATCTATATGCAGTAAAATGTTCTGACTTAACCTGACCTAGGGCAATCCGACAAAAAAAGAAGCGATTAGCTTAACCTGAAAGCCATTTGGTAAAGAAAATTAAGTACATGCGTGCAAATCCAAAATGCGTTGCTTGGGCAGTTGCCATAATATCTTACAACGATGTTTTCCGAATTCTTTAGGTGAATGCTGATCTATGGTTTTTTTGTTCTGGTTTTGCTTGAGACCATCAAACGTAGCTAGGGGAACAAAGTACTTGTTCAATAAGCAGCATATTAGTGACACTGAATTCTTAATAGCCTTGCAAATTTTTCCTTTACAGTGATGCTACGTACTGTTTGAAATCTTATTCCCCGCGAAAATTTGTTTCCACGGTGATGCGATTAGGCTGTAAAACTATTTTTGTAATGCTTTATCTATTATGCTTCCTTAATTATAATGTAAGATGTATGTGAAATGATGGTTTACATAGTAAATTTGTATTAGATGCGTGAAACATTAGCATAGAAATTGTTAGCAAAAGCTGGATAAATATCTGAATGATTTTACTCACAAATGTATCAACTCCTCCATAAGTAGACTCATTGTAGTGTCTACTTGACATTTGCCAACCAATTATGAAGGCTGTAATAAAAATGGATGTCCAAAATTTAGAATTACGATTTAAGGTAAAGTATTCCGCTTGCGTTAAACGACCACACAGATGTTTCAATTAAGTTTAATAGATGGCATAAGCTCAACTATGAGAAATGAACAGATAGTGTGTGCAAATACTGTTGGTGATTTGACTCACCTTTTTGCAAGTCATCGGTTTGTCTTGGAATGGGCATGCTTCTTTCTGTTGCCCGCGGTGTAGTAGAGGTTCGAGCTTTAATTGAATGTATGTAACATGTTCACTCCGATGCTCAAAGTGAATTGTAATTTACACCATTTTAGAAAAAATAATACAGAATCGCAGAGAACGGAAAATGGTCGTATTCAGTGTAAACCGTGATTATGCGGATTTCAGTTTATTTGACAGATAATATTTGTAAACTTCATATTTAAGCTTTGAGTGCGATGTTTACTTGAGATCTTTAAGCGTTTATTAACTTGTACAGCATATAAGTACGCACGTGCTGGTTTTTTAGAAAATTAAACATCAGTGACCGTCACAGTTAGCAACTACTCTTCACATCTCCTAACTGAATCGGAATATGGCACCACTGTTACTTACATATCCAGCAATGGCAGTTCAAGCAAAACAAATGGGATTCAAGTATCGTACGCTAAATTTGTTTGCTAGGCCATATGAAGAGAATGATCACTGAGTTTTCTTCATTAAAAACAGTGAACTGATTCATGCAACTTTATTCATTTTACCGGAAACAAAAGCCATTGTAATAATTTAGTTTTGGTGCACGGTACTACAGTTGCTGCTTTCGTACCGCGTCCTTTAACAATACAATTTTTAAGGTTGGAAACTGATATGAAAACTTGCCTCCGCACTATACTTTATATAAATAGGAGACGCGGGTTGTGATATGACACTACGATTTCTTGCATTCTATTCGTACTAGCACATGCAGCAATCTACAGATATAAAAATATGCCAATGATATCTATTCGATGACCAAGCGGTAGGCGAATGATGCGCATCATCCTATGACGATAAACTTATTGTTGTCGTCGGATGTTCCTCATCCCAGAGCGGGAGCGCTCTCGATCGGTACGAAGCATCTTGAGTGTCTTTTGAACGTGAGGCCCTTGTTTACATGTGAAGGCTGTGAATGACTCGTATTGATTAAAATATTTGTCTGTGTTCAGCAACTAACCCGTGAACGCTGGGAAAGACCTGTATCTCAGTCTACTGATTCAACAGTGCAATTTTCCATTCGTTCGAGTAAAAGGTTGGGATGTGAAATATTTGTCTTGCTTTTCTTCCCAGGAAATATATTTACATGGTTGATAGTTGGCCCTTATTGGATTATACGTGCCACACTAATAGGTGAAGTCTTATGAAAGGAGTTCAACTACCACATTTGTATACTGTATTTATACATTTACTAACAAGTAAAGATAATTCAACTAACCCTCATTTGCAGCGAAATTGCTCAAATCCGTATTGCTAATGTATTGCACACCTGTTAAATAAATAAATTGAGCTTATTCTCGCTAATTGGTAGAGACAATATTGTAATTTTACACAAATACAAATGGTCAAACACTGTATGTAATAATACGTTTGGTGAGATTGCACTGCACCCCAGAATATTTGAGGTAACAAATGCTCCGCACATTTCTGTTGTCAACCAAAAGACAGAATGTTCTTGAATACTCTAAATGTAAAATTGGTGCCCGTGCAAAAATAGATGCAGTTTTCAGAGTTCAAGTAGGTTTGGCACTGAAGTAGTTTGCACAGTTTATTTTCCTCCTGGATTTTTATAGAAATTCTTTGCTTAGTACAACTATTTTTCGGTAAAATTTAATAATTGTTAGATCCAGCATTTGAATGAGTGTCGTAGATCAAGATGTCAGATGATCTGGATTTTCATTAATAGAAGTGCATTATCCCTGTAGGGAGTGAGGATGATCTCAGAGATGTACGGAATGAGCAAAGTATCGCACGAATACATATCACAGCAGTTGGAAAAGGAAATAGACGGGGCATCTAACCGTATTGTGTACATGTTCAACAGGTTTATCAAAAGCATTTTAGGAAGCTTATTGCATTCGTGGATACGAATCAACATAGTATAAGTTGAAATCTCTAGATATTCAACATCATCATATGAGAACTCACTGACAATTTGGACTATTGGAGTCGCAGCCCATGATCCGTGATTTGTTCTTTTTAAAACATACTCCAGTCTTTGAGAGATCTCATCAAGCTTTAGCGGAATGTTGTGCTCACGAAGTCGGCTAATTGAAAACTGTAGAAGCAGACTACCGGTGGAGTATTTTTGGTAACTATTTGAGCGCATAACCGAATACGATTCAAGGGCTTTGCCCAAGGCATCACTCTCCAAAAGCGAGGTGATCTGATATACAAGAGAAAGGAAGGATGTATCTCATGACTAATCACTACTAGCAATGTTTTATTTCTTGTGTTATTTCGCAGTAAATCAAAGTACGTTTGATTCGCCGTTAATTATATCTACAAAACATTTATTGCAATAGTTTTGTCTGGCCAAAATATTCGCAACACAAAACATCTTCCACTTCTCTATATTTTCTTCAAATTTCTCACAATTCTGTTCACTAATATGAGCTTTTTTTAAAAGAAAATATACACACAAAGCATGTTCTTAGATTTCATTGACATACTAATTTCAGTGACCCTAAACACATGTACATGAGAGACAAAACAGTAAGTTGGAAAAGCTACCCTCCAGGTGCTGCCGCGATGCAGCTAACACTTCTGAACTGATGACGTTAACGCGAATGGTGAGATCAGTATACCCGGCAAAATGCCCAGCTCGATGAACACTGCAACAGCTGAGCGGAACATGAGTTTGTTTTATTAAAGTTATTATGCTACGCTTATCTAAATTCATTTTGTGTTTGCCTGTCAGATAAGTGATAAACAATCTTCATGTTTGGTGGTAAATGTCATTAACTTGCCCTATCAACTGCATCTATTTCCTTTCCTTTCTTTACTTACTAGGGCAAAATGATAACTAACTAAGAAAGTTGCCTTCTGTTTAACCGGCAATAATAAAGAAAAAGCGCTAGTTATCATTTTTGCCATTTACGTCTCAATTATAAAACTAAAAGTACTTTTGGTTGCGGCTTCATTTCCTCAAGGAAAACAAAAATGGTGGACAACAAGGAGGGTTACAGCTGTTTAAATTTGTTGCAATTACGGCAAAGTTTTACTTAAGTTACAGTTTTAGAATGATTAAACTGCGATTTGCTGCTTATTAGGAATATTAACCAGAAATGTCGATAATGAGTGTTATCGACCAAAAGTAGATACAACGACTAGCTCGGCATTGACATAAAGTTCCTGGATTCATTTTCGTTAAATACTACATGTGATCCCCAAAGCATATGAAATCTCCATTGTGAGTATGGTGCCAGTCACGAATTGCACAAATTACTTATTACTGCGCACACTAATCTGAGGTGCCTTTTCTGTAATTCATCGCTAAATTTGCCTCCGTTTTGGAGCAAAAACAACGAACAAAAGATCTAAAAACAATAAAGAATCATTTTTTATTACTAGGTACCGTTCAGTACCATGGACTTAGATCAAACAGTAAAAAGACCAACAATATACTGTAATTCCTTGCTGTTTGCCATATTTGAAACATATCAATAATCGACAAAGAGTATATTCAATAGTAGTTGCGATTGGTTTGGCAATTTCTTCGGTAATATTGCTAAAGTTGAGGCGCATAATTACATAGCACACAGTGTGTATTAATCCTAGAATTCAGACGGCTGCATAACACACTAAACTAGACCTACCGAACGTCACGAAATGAAGGAAACTTGACGAATGTCTTAAAGTTATACTTAAACTTTGTGTCAAACCGATACAAATTTTAATGACTTTTGCTGGTAAACATAATTACTGGTCTTAGATCTACCTGATTAAGACATACACATGGCTAGGGGCTCGCCTCTTAAAACTTGATAAACTCTCAAATGAAGAATCCCTGGTCGTAATAAGTTATCACATGATATGGTTTGGAATTCATTTCAATTATGTCAACACTGAGGAAATATATCGGTAATCCTTATAAAATAGCAAAAGTTATTTCTTACGTCATATTCCTAATTAACCAAGTTTTATGGACATGAATGCTTGAGGCAAAGCCTAACAATCGCTACAAACTATACGGCGCTTAGCCGATACGTTGCTACTGGATAGGGAATGAACAAGATCTCATCCTCATGAAGCTGTCATAATTCACTGAGCTTATATACAAAGTACAAGCCTAATACGACCATCAGTTGTTGTAGTTCTTGTATGCAATATGAACTAGGCATTTGAGTGAATAAACTCACATAATCCTCTGCTTGGCCCACTGTCCTTGAGTTATACTCGGGTGTAGGCATCATCCATTCAACCACGAATGCTTGAATATGAAAAGATCGGAAAGGACTGGTAAAAGGAGGTGTTAGATAACAAGCAAATTCCACAAGTGTTGTTTAACAAGTTTACTTCATTGACTGGACTAAGAAATAGTTTAAAAAATAAGCATTTTGCAGTAGTATGCTTACACACAGCGTTCCTCACGAAACTGAATGGTTTTCTTGGGACTGCGGTCGTCGCTGTAGTTGGGGAGCTGATAGTTGCAGGAGCTGAAAAGTTAAATATTAAAACCTATCTAAACAGGATAATCCGTAGGCAAACAGTATCACAAAGTGAAAAATTTTCAACATCACGTGGATTTTGAGCTTGTGGGTATTTAAAATCTGTGAAAAGCAACTATCCTTAATTTTATGAGAGAAGCTAACAGTCGGTACGAATTAAGCAAAAGGAAACTTACGTTCTGGGGGCATATTTCCATATGGTATTTCCGCGCTCATAATTACTGAAGCAAATTTAATAAATATGTCAGTAAGGAAGAGAGGACAAGCAGCCTAGAAATAGGCTAAATATAGGGTGTAAAATTTTGGTTTACAATTTTATGTGGAGAATATCCAAACGTTGATGTGGTGAGCAGGGTTTTACCGCAAAATATTTTATAAGAGAAGCTTTAGGCGAAGTATGCTTACGCGTGATTTGGAAACCCAGTTGCTCTTCCTCCTCCAATTTTTTGAGCTCTGGCGTCAAAATAGCCCGTAGCCTCGCCGCACCATCAGTACCAAACAAAGGTTGATTTGCCTCAAGCAATTTCATCAGGGAGAAATCCATAAATATATATCCATGTGCTTTATCACCGAAGAACATTGCTGGACTTCCCCAAGTGCTTTCAATACAGGTGCTCAGTGGCGTCTGTTCCAGCATGCCTAAAAGCTAAATCAATTGCACAAACGAAAATATGAATGTATTCAATAAAGGACTAAGTGAATAGCTTTGGCTAATTCACAGAATTTCAATACGCAGTGAGGATATCCCAAATATTAAAAATGCGAATTAAAACCCTATCGGTATATTCCGTACTCTCTAGTTTTCATTGCATGTACTAAGCCCAAATATGGATATCAAGCAAAAAAGCAACAATTGTAAACATGCAGTGTTACACGCCACAGCTTAGTAAATTAACATGCAAGAAAGTGGAGGATGAGCCGCGCTATGTCGTAGTTGGGTATCAGTCATGGCGGTCCGCCGCCGTCGCACATGGCTCAGTGACATAAGTCACTGACTTTCAAGAGTAAGGTCGGGGGTTGGAAGTGTGGTGGCCGTCTGTCTGTGTCTAACTGCGACGAATCTCCACAAAAGCCTACTAAATCCCCCGACTACTTATAAATTAGGGTATATGTCCCTGTTGACTTTCCAAGGGCTCCAGTTTCGATGTCTGCCATATATAACTGATGAAGTTAAGTCCCATTCAATTCAGTTCAAAGGCCTAAAGGTGTGTAGGGCGTGTGATTGCCCTTTAATTCTCGACGAACTCATTTACTGCCATTATGGTGCGAATTGTTCGGAGTGAATTGCAGCACATCAGTCAGAGATGGATGATGTCTAATTCATACCGAGTATGGACAATTTTACAAGAGGAAATATAGGGGAAGCGCTGAGCAATGACGCTGATGGCTCAACCAGTAGCAGGAAATAGTTACCATGTGTGCGGTTTCTCAAGACTGCTATCGTTAGTTACTGCTTGAGAAAACTCAGTACCCCAATGCAAGCCGTCGTAACCGGATACGAAAGCACTATAGTGGCGGAAGATGGCGTAGAATGCTTGCTTGTACCAGTCCAAAAATGCTGCGGTTTAATCCCTGAGGATCACTCCACGACGTGGCGTAATATTCCCTCCATACAGAGCACCAGGGTTACTTTTGGATCAAGCTCTATTTTCGAGCAACTGGTAGCCAGCTAGGGCTCATCATGACAACTACATTCTGGTCGACCACCGAAATGCGGGAGATCCTTTATGTCCTAAGTGCGCCTCTTCCATGGCGTACATTAAATGGGCACCAATGCTTGCCGCTCCTATGTGCGTGGGTGGATTGTAGTCACCCATCGTTCCATTCAGCCTTTAATAAATGTTTCTAGTACCTAATGCACCCTGTAGGAGTGAGATTATGCGTCATCTTCGTGTCTGTTGACCTGTTTAATCATCACCAACACTTTGGCAAACACCCTGTCCGCTACCTGATTGTATGAATTGTGAGGCGTTTGGTAATCAGCTTAACTGGATTGCGACGGTCACCAGCATTCTGCTTAGCCAGTTTGCACGTCAGAAACAACGTAGAATGTCCCTTAGCGAAATGTAACTGACAATTGGTGAATATCATTTACTGATGCTTCCACTTAATATGTTGTCGAAGGAGCATAGAGAATGCTATATAACGGTCGTACCTAACTCAGTGTACGACAAAAGCAAAAATCCCACTATCTTATGATTCAGTTCATCTGGCTGAGTCGTTTTAAGTGAAACCAAAGGGGGTAAAGACTTTTTCATGAGGGTGTACACACAGTTCCATGTGCAATGGAGTAGTTGGAGATGGGTGCTGCACTGCGCCCGAAGTATTAGTTCATGTTAGGATTTCTGAAAGAAGCCAAATCATTAAGGAACAGCCTAGCGCGTTGTATAATCTGACACACGATGTTGACTACCCACATCATTTCCTTCGTTTTTCAGATGCATGTGGAGAGTCTCGCAAAGTTAGAACAGCAGCAGACAAATGTTCTTAAACTTCGAACTGCCTATTAGCTATGATGCTCCTACCCTTGTTCTTTCCTAGTTGCATCAGTACTTGAGTGTATTCATTTTATCCGTCCATCCAACTTTTGCGTATGGTCCTATCTACCGCCTTCCGCGTTCGCACTTTGTCGGTGCCAGACCCAAACGATTTGATAGCATCGTTTGTGAACAATAGACGTCCATATAGCTACTAAGTGCAGTGTCTTACACAGTCGCTATGCGGAAAGTGCAAGCTTGTGGGGCTAACTGCTTTCCACTGCACATGGCGTGGCACTGTAAGATAAGCCGGGATATCTCATTGTCAAATGTCAATCCTGCAGGTCCGCGACTGTCACCCATGGCTAAGTGGCACTGGCTGCTGGAAGTCATTGAGTCCGAACCCGACAACAGTCCACACCACTGATGAGAACCAGCGATGTCCGTTTCTTCTCCAGACGCGCCAAATCTTAATGACTGAGAAGAACATTGATGAATTACCTCTGAATTATACTAAAATCTCCACATTAATAATCTACACTAGGAATAAGCAGCTTTTATCCCAGTTACCGCGCCTCATACATTGCAGCTAGTTTTAAGCACACAACATAGTTCGCTTAAGGAATGGTTATTCGTTTACATTTCATATTTTTAAGACATATCATATAAAAGTTACTTTTTTAATTAGCTCAACTTTGTTAACCTGGAACAGGATTAGTTTAAATTATTGAACTATACCTTGGTTGCAGAAAATTGTGCAAAATATGTTACTTACTACTTTGTTGGGTCCTTTAAATCCAGTAGAATTGTAGATACTTGCCGGCATTGTCCACCGGAATCCAAATGCTAAAATAAAAGCGGTTGATGATGGTGATGAATGAAATTTGAGGGTGAATAAGACTGGATATTTTATAATTATAACTCAAACCTGGCAAAACGTACTTTCTACTTCCAATTTAGGCGGCGCAGTGACAGGCGTTGAAACTTCCCTTGGTGGAAATCGGTCGAAAAAATGTTCTGCTCAGAAAAAAGAAAAAACGTTTTTAATACAAAGAAAAGAGCATCCTCATTCAACGAATGTAAAACCAAAAACATCGATTTTTTAAACACATTTAACTAGTCTGCGTTTGTTTGGATGAAATGGAACATAATACTAAATCACTTGTGCAGATGTAGGTAAAGATTCCAGGCCATTATGATGCGAGTTATGTATCCCAGCTTAGTGATGTGCTTTTAGTATCAATAATAACTTGATTGTTCTCATTTAGTTATCAAATGGGAGCCTTTTATTAATTATTCATCTCGGAATACGTCTAATTATTATGATATTACCAACTTATACTTCCATGAAGAATTCGAGGAAGCAAAAACGTGTCAATCTTTCTTAAACATTTTATATAAGGTTATCGATGGCCTCAAGATTCCAGGTTGCATTAGGGTTATAGCGCTTGAACAGAAGTGTAGAACATACCATCGATAGCAGCTGCCGCTACACAAATGCATGTTTGCAGGATTAGTGAAAACATGGGCACTGGTCCGGTAAAAATGACTTGTTCCAAAGATTCGCTACACACTGACTTAAAAATGTACGAGCTTTTATAGTCAGTGGCGTGTTATTTGTTTATCTAGAGCTATAGGATGCTCAACCCATCTTTAATTAGATTCCATGAATGTTGGAGGGACAATGGGTAGATGTGTGTCTACTTTAAGGAGCTGTCTCAAAGGTAGTGGCAAGCTTCCACAACTATTGTATTGTTTTTGTGTTGACGAATACTGATTAGTGCTCAACCGATAAGGTACGCACGGTTACTATTGTCATGTATCATGTCTGAACAATACAAAGACAATACCACCGCCACGTTTTTAGGAATCTTAATGAATAACACCGGCGGCTGTCGTACTTTCATCCTATTTGTTAGACACGCTTGGTGCGTACGCACTGGTGGTAAACTACCAAAGTGAGCTAGAACACGTTTAGTTTGTTAAACCATGAAAACATCCGATTAGCAGGCTGCCGCTTTAAAAATTTTGCCTGATAACCAGTGTTAACCTAACCAGAATGCACTGGTGACTATTGAAATTCAAGGAAAGTCTTCGGCATTCGTAACATTTGCAATCATAACAGGTACAATCTAACTGTTGATCGTAAAAGATCTTTAGCGTACTTGATTTGTCTGTGTTTAAAGCTAAAGTTTATTAGATACTTGCATAGAAAAGAATAATGTGATATTTTCTCACATAGCAAACCTGATTCATTTGTACGGTTACAGGGTAAACATCTTAGTTATTAACACTAGTTTTATATGATGCTAGACTAACAAGATGCTTCGTTTCGAACAGAGGAACCTAATTTTCTTGTAATGCTGTAATACCTAATGTAAATAAGAAATAAAACAGGAAATATCTAAGAACTATAGATCGGACAGCTCGCTTTGAGAAAGAGAAAGAAGTTACGTTGTAAAGAGAAAAGCGAAGACGAGTTTCTCAGACGTATGCATCTGGCATTGCGTCTTCAGTGTCTTTACTGACAACCCTTGATTCACTAATGATATAGATCGTAAAAGGTTTAAGGTCACACAAGTGCAAAGCAAACAAGCTAAAAACAAACTGCCTACTCATAACTCTTAAGCAAACCAAGGCTGACCGATTGGTAGTTTTGAACGCAAAGCGCCGGTTCAATTTAGCTGATCGCAGCATCCTCGAGGAACCGGAAAAATAAAACAAGTATTTACTCAAGGCAGCAAATTCGGTAATATTTGTTGACTGCAATCCCACGACAAGTAACGAAACTTATACTGATTGCAATTCCTGGCGGACTACTTGAATGCCTATGCTAAAGTGGAAAAATATGCTACGTGGTGTCGTATTGTAACCACTTTTCACCTTTCCTTTATTATAGGAACGGTGTCATACCGGTTCTGTGAAGCTCCGTGCCTATTGGTGTAGTTCACTTCAGTGAAGTCGGTGGAAGCATTCCGGTTCAGTCGATGGTAAAGACTATGCCAGAACAGAAGGTGCGCAAAACGACCAAGATCAGACATCTTATACTCCTGCGTGCATAAATGCCACTCTGAAACTGCAAATTTAAGGATATCTTCAGCTTAGTTAGATTTAGTACTGGGTCACTTAATCCTCATACTTGACCGTGATTCTAGCGCACCACACAGTGCTATATATGTGTCATCAGGGTGACATAAGGAGGAACTCCAGTTAGTCTTAAATGCTCCCTAAAATAATCGAAATAAATCTTCTACGGGTGAAAAACAAAAGGTTATTGCTTACTTATACGTCTACATGAAAATCTTGTCTAAATACATAAATATGATCGGGCCATTATACCCGAATCTCAACAGGCGCACTCCAAGTTAACACAAACAGACGCGTGTACATGCTTTGGTTATCATTACGGGGTAAATTTGTTAGATGTTTGTCCTTTCGGCAGTTTGTGCTCTAATGACAGATGGGTGCCACAGCATAGTCAACGAAAAACACGGCCAAATACGAGGATCGAGAGAGCAAATGCTTACTGCCCTAAGACGAAGATATCCCTATGTATGTACTTTATGGATGGCATTTCTACACCCTAGAGTATCAGTCCTCTGATGCACCAAGAAGTAGCAGACGTTAGATCTTTTCCACGTTATACCACATCTGTTCCGCCATAGTTATCACCATCAACTGAAAACACTAGGTTTTGCTGCCCCACTGCAATGAACTTTGCTGATCAGGAACAAATAACACGGTGCACTCCAATTAGCAGATGAAAACGAACCTCCACCGAACCCGTAGGACTTTGAGTACCCGGGTGATTGCTTATTGGGTCCTACAAGGTACAACGTAGAATGCACGTTCTGCTTATGGTTAACATTAAAGTAGGCTGCCATCACTTTCAGTCGGTAAATGATTCTTGTCCTCAAACGACTGGACGAAAGTAAATGCGGCATTCGAAATAGGTTTGCGTTAATCAAATGCTTATTTCCTTTTTTCCTTGAGATTGTTGCGATTGACCAAACTGTGCCGTTGCGTTGCGCACGAAAGGAATTACCGGTCATTCTAGATTTTCTAGGTAAAAGGATTAAGCAGTCTGCTCATAGTTTCGGTTTTCCCCTCTTCTTCCAGGCACTACACGACACCTTTCCTCCTGGTTTGTACTGATCAGGCACAGGTAGCGTGTAATGGTAGTGGAACTCCGCACCTAGTGGTTAGCGGCTATTGCCATGATCATTAGATAATTGACTTCTGCGAGCAGAGCTGCAAAATCCGACCATCAAATTCTAACCGTTGTGTCAGGTGTTGCTCGCAGAGCTCAAGCACCTAGTGGTTATAATGCTGAAAGCCAAACGCTATGTGCTGAGTTGCAATTCCAATTCAGGATCTCTCTGCCACATGAATCAAACCCAGGATGTCTTGTCGGGCGTCAATGGGAGGCGACACTTAAACCCTCCAGTTCGGATGCGGTCGCAAAGTTCAGAAAGGCACAGACTGACTTCAAAGTCAGTCAAAGCCATAACTGAAATTTCGAGTAGTAATCCAAGACACGCGGCAGGTCCCCCAAAACCCGGCGATCTGTTTCTATTCCATTTGTTTCACATTTTGTCTTGTCATCCAACTGGTTGCAATTGTTGTCGCTATGGACACGGAGATAGGTCGCGAATTTCATGAGTTTGACGGCATGAAAAAGGACTTCGAATTGTTTCGTTTGAATATGTAATGGTACTTCTCCTAAACTTATTTGAATATATGGCTAATGAAAGCGTTTTTGAGTGCGGTGGCTTCCTGAATCCATATCGGCAATTTCTTGGGGCATGATGGCTGAACAGACTGTATTTATCACAACTGATATTTTCTCACATACACTGCTTTCTTATTCAGTAGGTGCACGTAAGGAATGCTCAAAATAATGGAGCGGAATTCCTACCTCATCTCAGTCGAATACTGGCAAGTTTTTCACCATGTCGTGATCAATAAGATGCTTGACGAAATCAATTACAGAAGCACCCGTGTTACACAAACATGGCATTCCTAGTTGATTTCGGAACTCAAGAAACCAGTGTTTAGCCAACACCTGAAAATGCCATTTAGCCGGCCACGCTTAGTAATTGTGCCGCCACCGGCCCACTTATCCCTACCTATGCCAATGCCACTTAGGTCTACTGAGACCATAGAACATTTCGTTGTGTCCAATGTTGCCGCTGTCCCGTTTACTACCGTCGATATAGACTCACTCGGAAGTTTCGATCTCCTGGTCGATGCGCAACGGCGCGCAACTATTCTGTCATCAACTCAGGTATCACAGCTAAGAACCTACTCCACGTATTTTCACAGACCCCAAGCTAATATGCTGACCATTTCCTTTATTACGGTTAGTTCGTTAAGCCAAAAATGTTGCTGCGCTGATGTCTCAACTCACTCACCATATGTGAACTAACGGCTTAATTGTCGCGTTATGACTGCGCCGATTTTCGTCGGACAAAAGGGAGACTAGATCAAGAGGAGGTTGGACATAGGCTCGAACTTGGATTAATTCGTTCCTCATATCACACTTGGTCTTTATCAGTTCAGATGATGCCAAGCAAATCCGGAACTTGCCGCCTTTGTGTTGAATTTTGCGCACTAAGCAAACCTACTATTCTCAAACTGTACCCCACCCAATACATGCAGCTTCGAACTTCATGCCTCACAGGTAAGACGGTCTTTACTAAGGTCGAGCTTGTTCATGCGTGTGACCAGATGAGCACCCGCACTTTCCGCAACTTCTACTACTTTTCTTAAAAATGCGGTCCAAATTGTGTCGCGCTTCATCCAGGACGTCACTCATGGCCCAGACATTGCTTGTCCCTACCTCAGCACCAGTTATGTTGCAGATCATTAAAGAAGAGCACCATGTTCATCGTCAATACGCTTTCCAGTGGTTAATTTAAAACGGCGCCGACTTAAGCCCGATTAAGACCAAACTTCGTTAGTCAACGAGGGAATAGAAAAGGTGAAGTCTACTTTGTCGTCCGGCACATAGGTCCTTACAGGGATGAACCATACTTACCAGCTCCGAAATCATTCAGGAGCGTCCAATGACCTTTTAGACCATTCAACTACCACGGACGCTTCCTACTCCGCTATGCACCGGTCACGCAGACCTTGACTGAGTTTCTCAGAGGAAACTAGCGCCTGGTTACTTTTCAACCTACAGTGCACATAACTTCACCGACTTCAAAGGAGCCCATCTTCAAAATTGCTCGCCTCTCTCACTCTGAACTGTTCGCTTTTCGTTCCATTACAGTTGCTGCTTCAGACTACGCGGTAAAAGCCGTACTCTAACGAAATTTTTTAGACGGTGGCAACCTCTCGGCCTATTTTTCAAATGCCTAAGACAGTGCAATACCGCTGTAGCACGTTTGGTGGGGAACATCTTGAATCTACCTAGCTAGCATACACAAAAGCTGCATTTTCACGGTACACACCGATCACAAGCGTCTTCGCCCTCAACCCATCTGCTGACAAATGTTCACCACAGGAAACTAGACACCCA